AAAAGAAATATGACTTGTATTACATATCAACATGAGATCTTAATGATCCATGGTCAACATGATTTAATAAGGATAATACAGTACTGTATTTGTAATAATACAAACTATAATTTAAAATCTTTATTACTGATTTTTTTTATTAAGAAGATTAGGTATACACAGCAATGTGCTGCTACCCTATTCTATATGGAATATTACACAGTGTAGATAAAAAACTAGCTATAAGTTTATCTAATACTCCCATCTCAAATACCAGCCTCAATAGAAAAAACAAATCAACTCTGACTAAACAACTCTAAGCAATTTTCACAAGAGGTAAGCACTGAATCATGGAAACATTATATTATAATTACTCTTACCAGTTTCTACAAAACTCCTCTCAAACAATGTATTTTTAAACATGTTTAGGTATACACAGCAATGTGCTGCTTCCCTATTCTGTCTAAAGGACCACACAGTGTAGATCAAAAACCAGCTACAAGCTCACCTCACAGGATGGCCAGTCATACATGGAATTAGGAGAGAACAAAATACTTAATGCTGATCTATTAGCCTCCACTGGCAAAATCTGGGTGCAGCACAAGAATATCTTCCAATATTCCTGAGTGTATGAAGTAATTACAGAGCTCAAAATACCTCATACCATTTGGTATGAAGTCACTGATAACAGGACAATCACAGATATAGTGTTGGAGAGTATGTTCTCTCAAGTAGGACTGAAAACAGATGTTTTTTCCACCAAGAGGGCTATAAACCCATGGAACCGCCTACCCGCTGAAGCCGTAAATGCCAAATTCCAGCTAAAAAATATAATTAAGACAATTGGCGGGCCCTTCAACAAGCCGCCGGCTTTCTGTCCTCTTCGAGGTCACTAGATAGTTAGTGGCCCTTGGGTAAATTCAGTAAATATATACAATAATTGTCAGCGCATCTTCCGAGCAACAAGGACAGCTACACAGTATCTCTTAGAATTACGTAGGTAAACAACAAATGTAACATATTTGTTTACTACAATGTCGGTGCTGGCTGTAGAAGTTGAAAAAACATTGTTTTACTTCGAAATATACTAATTTTATAAGAAAATTCGACGTAAATAGGAGGCAGTAGAGCTGCGATAAGCCAGCGCTAAATCTTCAATATGAAGAATGTTGCTGCTCTCTGATTGGCCAAACGAAACACAGTAGTGACCTCTATCGGCACGCAGGTGAACCAACAATTTTTCTTCCTAAGTATACCTTATTGAATAGCACCTAAGCATCTTCTTAGGGCGCACTTAGGAACCTTCGTAGCAAACCCACTTACGAAGAAATACACAGAGCTTCCTGAATCTAGGTCCTGGACTGCTCGGAAGATGCGCTGACAATTATTGTATATATTTACTGAATTTACCCAAGGGCCACTAACTATCTAGTGACCTCGAAGAGGACAGAAAGCCGGCGGCTTGTTGAAGGGCCCGCCAATTGTCTTAATTATATTTTTTAGCTGGAATTTGGCATTTACGGCTTCAGCGGGTAGGCGGTTCCATGGGTTTATAGCCCTCTTGGTGGAAAAAACATCTGTTTTCAGTCCTACTTGAGAGAACATACTCTCCAACACTATATCTGTGATTGTCCTGTTATCAGTGACTTCATACCAAATGGTATGAGGTATTTTGAGCTCTGTAATTACTTCATACACTCAGGAATATTGGAAGATATTCTTGTGCTGCACCCAGATTTTGCCAGTGGAGGCTAATAGATCAGCATTAAGTATTTTGTTCTCTCCTAATTCCATGTATGACTGGCCATCCTGTGAGGTGAGCTTGTAGCTGGTTTTTGATCTACACTGTGTGGTCCTTTAGACAGAATAGGGAAGCAGCACATTGCTGTGTATACCTAAACATGTTTAAAAATACATTGTTTGAGAGGAGTTTTGTAGAAACTGGTAAGAGTAATTATAATATAATGTTTCCATGATTCAGTGCTTACCTCTTGTGAAAATTGCTTAGAGTTGTTTAGTCAGAGTTGATTTGTTTTTTGTATTGAGGCTGGTATTTTCTAAATTGATTCCATGTACAGTATGTCTAACCATCCTGTGAGATGGGAGTATTAGATAAACTTATAGCTAGTTTTTTATCTACACTGTGTAATATTCCATATAGAATAGGGTAGCAGCACATTGCTGTGTATACCTAATCTTCTTAATAAAAAAAATCAGTAATAAAGATTTTAAATTATAGTTTGTATTATTACAAATACAGTACTGTATTATCCTTATTAAATCATGTTGACCATGGATCATTAAGATCTCATGTTGATATGTAATACAAGTCATATTTCTTTTGAACTGCTAATCCATGCTAATCATTCATTAAATTGTGTATTATGTCTCAATTTTTCACTTCCTTGGATATACTGTACAGTACAAAAAGATAGGATAAAAATAAACCAGTAATATTTCTTTCATTATATTTTTCATTTAAATAACTGCATCAATATTTTTACAGCTGACAGGATTTGTTTTACCATACAGGTGCATTATTTGTTAAAAAAAATTTGGTTTATTGTTACACACAATGGTGCTACATAGCCTTCCCAGCTTGGTGCCTTCTTTTAATACTTACTGATTAAAAAATAAATAATAAATACATTTTATTCAGGAAAAGTACATACAGTTGATTTACAAACATAATGTTGGATTTATAGACAGAGCTAGTACATACAATACCTAAAGCCACTAATACTCATAGCATTTCGGGCAAGGTGTGGGGGAAAAAAACACAGACTAAAACTTAGTAATCGGGATTAGGTATAAATTGTGTTGAAAGAAGGAATAAAAAATACAAAAAGGGGGGTTAGCATAGCATAACTCAGCAATTGCACATGTTGGTGAACAGCGTTGTTTAAAAAATAGCAAGACATGGGTTGACATTTAGGAGGTAAGTTAGGTTACATGGAGTTAATTAGGCAGTACTTGGTTTAACTCTTAAACTGGTTGAGAGAGGTACAGCCTTTGACATGATTCGGGAGGTCATTCCACATTCTGGGTCCCTTGATTTGTAGAGCACTTCTAGTTTGGTTACACACAGCCAAATTGAGTAACAGGAAGAGGTCTTGGACACAAATTTGTTCCATGCTAAATGTAGAGGAATCAGCTGAGTATTCCTCAAATAAAATAAGTTGCCTCAGCTTATAAGGTAAATAAAATAAGCATTTCTCAAATAAGTAGCTGCCTCACCTCACTGCCTTACTGCTACATAGCCTTCCCGGCATGGTGCCTTCTTTTGATAATTACTTGTTCCACACCCAAATTGTATAACAGGAAGAGGTTTTGGACCCCTACTTCCCTCTCTCTTTTTTAATAATCTACAGTATATAGTCATAATTATAGCTTTAAGTATTCAATGAATAAAGTTTGTGACATTTTTACCCTTCTCCTTACCTAACATCATTTGTGCAGCATATTTTTATTTTATGTCTCACCCAGATTTAATTTCAAAATAAAACCAAACTAAATAAATTAGAAATGGGTATGTATAGCTAAGGTACACCCTTACTACTAGGTGAACAGGGGCATTTGGTGATAGTAAATGATCCCATCAGGCAGGGCTCATCACCTTCTCTCATATTTCATGTTCACCAGTGTTTATTTACTTAATAACTACTGGTATAATATCTTGCTATTATAAAACTAATTCTACTATCATCAAACACATATTTACTTCAAGTTTCAAGCAGAGAATGCATATATAACTAACACGAAGGATTCCTCTTCACTAGATTCACCAGCTATAATGTTTTGGTCATGTTCCAATATCATAAATCGATCCCAGTGTTATGTAGTAGAGAAAAAATGACTTATATCCAGTTTACGTAAAGCTACGAGTGGTCGAAACCACACTTAAATCCCGGAATGAACTTACGAAGGTTTTTCCACTTAGGGTACCTACTTGAATACGGACCTAGCCGCCACGAAGGCGCTAAGAAGGAATTCGCTCTTAGCTAAGAGGAAAAACCTTCGTAAGTACCTTCCTGAATCCGGCCCCTGGTCAGCTGACGCCATAAACACAACATCCCGCCCTACAGTGCGGCGAGTGCTCTAACACACACATCTGTGGAGTCGCCGCTCCTTTATCTCCACCACAAGACAACAAACTCTTGAGACCTTGTCATTCTCAACATAAACGCGTCTCTCAACATTTGTACTGGTGCAGTCACCGAGAGATAAACCCTTCATGCAAACTGCACCTACCATCAAGAAGACACCATTCGTAGCAGTCATCAAAAGGAGATAACTTTTATATATCAAGCAAAAGATAGTATTCAGGCTTAATTATCCTAACCAGCCGCTGTGTTGTGACTGTAGGTCTCCCCACGTTACAGGTACAGGGGATAACAGTCATCATGAGGAGATACATTTCACACAGCAAGCATGACAACACGCAGGCTGAATGATCTAGCCCAGCAGCAGTAGTATTGTCTCCTCCAGACGCCCAACTTAACAAGACAACTCCTGTAGTTATCGGAAGGCGATAACCTTCATACACCAGTGAAGTAGTGCAGGTGCTGTGACACAGTGGCAAGTACTGCTTGCTCACAGCAAAAAAGTCAGTAGCTGGCCTAAGAAAACCTTGATAAGCCTGACAGACTTGTCAGGCTAACAAATCCATAAGGTGAGCCATAAAACCACCTAGACTTAATTATCCCATCAACTCCAAGAAACGCCCCATGTCAAGCGAATTTCAAAGTGATCAGGAGGAGATAACCTCCACACAAACTCTAAGAATGATAAAGAAGATATTGAAACCTCACGCATGTCCAGAGTGCGCAAAAAGATTCCAGCGTCTTGGAGATATGAAGAGGCACTTGGGGGTGCATATGGATGAGAAACCATTCGAATGTACTGAATGTGGAAAAAGATTCAGTCATCGTGACCATGTTAAAAGGCATATGGCTGTGCATACGGGGGATAGACCTCATGAGTGTCCAGAGTGTGGGAAAAGATTCAGTCAGCTTGGAACTATGAAGACTCACATGCTGGTGCATACGGGCCAGAAACCTTTCGAATGTGCAGAATGTGGGAAACGATTCAGTCAACTTGGACATGTGAAGAAGCACTCATTTGTGCATACTGGGGATAAACCTCATGAGTGTCCAGAGTGTGGGAAAAAATTCAGTCATCTTGGACATGTGAAGAGACACATGGTTGTGCATACAGGGGATAAACCTCATGAGTGTCAGGAGTGTGGGAAAAGATTCAGTCACCGCGGAGATGTGAAGAGGCATATGATGGTGCATACGAACCTGAAGCCTTTTGAGTGTGCTGAGTGTGGAAGAAGATTCAGAGAACGTAGTAGTATAATTACACATATGTTGTTGCATACAGGTGACAAACCTCACGAGTGTCAAGAGTGCGGACAAAGATTTAGGCATCGTAAAAGTATGAGTAATCACATGACAATATTTCATACATGTGATAAACTTGACTTGGCCTAGTGCCTTGTCTTGTGAGGGGAAAAAAAGTCTTGGTCACCAAATTAATTTTAAAATGCACCAAATAGTATGTATGTTGAATAAATCTTGTGAGTGCTATTCAATCAACAAGTTCAGTATTGTATATACTGTATCAGATACATATCAAGACATTAACTTCCCATTAATCCAGTACACAATTTGAAAATTGTGAGTTTCATCTTTAGAGTAAGAAAATATAAGTTGGACATCCTTCAAAGATATTTTTGTCAGTTCTGTGAAAAATGTGCTTGGCCATGGAAAGCAAAGCTCTGCCACATTGTATTTGTTATATTTTAATTATTTTATGTTTTACAGTAAAGGTTAAATGCATCTCATAACCCAGCAAGGCTCCCAAAACTGCAGTGGGGTACAGTTCTCAATATGTTGTAAATTTTAGAATATTAAAAATTATGTACCTAGCATATGGAAGGTCTGATAGGCTATCATGCATGAGCCTTAGTCCTACATCATGGCAAAAGTATTGATAAATGGTTAAAATGCAGAATGATGAAGCCCTCAGAATAATATTTGGCTGTCTAATAACTACCAAAGTTCTTAATATGCTGCAAGAACTAAAAATACCTAGCATTAAAGAAATAATATTTTAAATCAATCTTATGATGGAACTAAATCTTCTGTTTGGCATCAAAAATAATAATGGATCAGTTTATCTTCTAAAGTATATTTGTGGTGGAATTAGTGTTTATAAATGGATTCAAAGAACAACTGCTAATATTGAAATGTTTGGATTGCATCCATTTGGATGGATGTTAAGATGGAAAAGTGCAGCACTTCTTGTCACCTTTTGACATCTTGGTGGGGGTATGTAGGCATCAATAAGATAGTCACACACAGCTTTCATGTTTAGTTTGCTCTAAATTAAGCACCCTAGAGCACACACACACAATCTGCAAACTGAACGCAAAATCACACAAACCGTATACATTGACAGATCTCTTGACTTACCTACATGGAGGGCAGGAAGTGATTGTTCATCAGCCTGATGGCAGCACAGTTGACAAGAATGTAAGACTCGGTAATTAGGCATCCACTTTGCAAGTTGAACTATTGACTATCTTTGAAGCACTTAAAATTATTGAAAACACTGTAAAGACAGTTTAATTATTTCAGACACACTTTCAGTATTACTAGCATTAAATAGTTTGTCTCCCTAGCCAGACATAGACATATGCTCATATTTATTTATTTATTTATTTATTTATTTATTTATTTATTTATTTATTTATTTATTTATTTATATACAAAAAGATACATCGGGGTTAACAGAGAACATAGAAATTAAGTTGAAATTAACTTTCTTTTAAAGGCACTAGCACGCATAGCGCTTCGGACAAGTCCTTAAACTAACAGATAATTTTTAGATAATTTAATAGTAAAATTGACAAAAAATGTTTACAGGTACTTTACAGCTTTACTTTATAGGTACAGATAATTTTAAGTAGAATAATTACAGTAAAATTGACAAAAATTTTTTACAGGTACAGTACAGTACATTGAAGAAATTTTGACTCAAAAGCATATTAGAATAATATACAATAATAATACACAATAATGAAACAAGGATTACTAGGTACATGAGGATAACATTTCAGGGATATTCATTGGTTCACTGAAGCACAATATGAGGATCATTTCAAGCAATAATTTCAAGGAATAATGCAGTAGATATGCACTCAATACAATAACCAAGATATCAGATGATATCTAAGATTACAATGGTAAAGTATTATGGCTTAGGTACAAATATTAGGGGAAGTAAAGAGGCTTAGTCAAACTTAGTCATACTTAGTCAACTTCCCTCTCACAGTGGGCTGCAAGAACATGATAATGTTGATGCTGTCCTGGCTAAGCTTGCACTATGTTAAATGTAATCTTGGGCTATCAAGTAGATTTCTAAAAAGTGTCATTATGTGAGAATTCTAAGAAGAATTTTAAACAGGTAGAAGATTGCAAACAAGAACTAACAGATCCTATGTTTATCACATTGAAATGTGTCAAATTAAACACTTGTACGGGGCAAGTAACAAAACCAGTAGACTGACATATTTTCAATGCTTGAATACAAATTTTCTACAGGAATCTCTGGCACTTCAGTTTCTAAGGGGATCTAGATGATATACCGTAAGGTGGGTGAACTAAGTTGGATACACACTAGAGCATTTCATTTTAGATTGTACAAAAAAAATGCCATTTACAGATCCCATCACATTGCATGAAATGGCAAATAATAATAATAATAATATTTTATTTAGGAAAAGTACACACATAGATGCAGAGTTACAAACATTCTGATCTGAAATCATCATATTACAATTGATAAAATATCCAAAATTGCAATTCAGATATCTATATTTTGCATTTTAGTAGATATGTGTCATGTATGATTAATGTATAAGTTGTATAGTGTGTAGACAAAAAATTATAAACAGTAACTGTAAACTGAAAGTTATTTTATGTATTAACAAAAGATGTACAGTACTGTACTTTGAATGTATAATAATACAGTGGAACCTCGATTATCAAATGCCCGTTTTCAAGTTTTTCGGTTCTCAAGCTCAATTTCTTCTAAAAATTCAACTCTGTACTCGAAGTTTGCCTCGGTTCTTGAGTTTGTTAATACACATGCGGGCCGACCGAGCACATGGCACGCTTCAGTTTACCAGTGTCTCCTGCCTAGTGATGATCTTGCTTGAGTTCTTTGTGAAAAATTTCATTGTTTTTGTGCTTTTTTTGGTTTTTGAACATTAGAGTTATTATATATCACACCATGGGTTCCAAGAAAGTCAGTGGTTAAGTTCAACCAAAGAAAATAGTTGTGAGGATGACAAAATATAAGAGATCATTCATAGTGAGACAATGTGATTTCTCACTACAGACAAGTGTTAAAATGTATGGAAAAACAAGTGTCTATTGACAGATTCTTAGTAAGACAAGCAAGCAGTGAACCACAACCTGATCCTGCAAAATGTAAGGGAGAGTACCCCAGAAATGTCATCAGTGCTGTTGTAATGGAAGGGGACTCCCCTTCCAAACACTAATACTCCCCCCATCCTCACTGTCTTCCATACGCCAACAATAGTCCTCAATAAAAGTAAGGTATTATTCTGTATAAAATGTATTTTTTAGTTAATATATTTAGGGGGTGTGGAACTGATTAATTCAATTTACATTATTTTTTATGGGAAAAATTTATTTTGGTTTTTGAATAGTCTCTGGGAATGGGTTAAATTTAAAAAACTGAGGTACCAATGTATAGAGTGCAGAGGAGCCTCGGTTAACAAATTTAATCCATTCTGGCATTGAGCTTGTCACATGAAACGCTCGTCTTGCGAAACGAATTTCCCCTTTTTAAAATAATGGAAGTAAAATTAATCCATTCCACCCCCAAAAAACATCAATATAAAATTTTATAATGTAATTATAATATTGTACATGTAATTATTATAGATGTTTTGTTTTACCGTTTTCAATTGTACTGTACTTTACCTTATGAAGAGTCGTTGCTGGCTTGAGGGAGACGACGGAGAAGTGGGGAGGAGAGGGGGTTATGGTGTGGGAAGGAGAATCCACCTTCGAGTCAGGCGGCCTCTCTCTCTTCTTGCGAATTTCACCCCACTGGGACTGGGTTGTGGTTCACTATCACTTGCTGGTCTTTTCTTTACTTTTCCAAAGAACATATCTATTGACAGTTGCTTTTGTCTTCATTTTAGGATGTCCCTAAAACGAAACAGCAAATTGTCATTAAACAAGCTCACACACTGTGCAGTCACTGCTTAATCAGGGTGATGCTTTTCCAAGAATGCGGTCACCTTTTCAAACATTCCCAACACTTCCCTGATCTCACTGGAAGAGGCGGCATCCTCCCTTACCTCCTTCTCCGATGAGAGTTCTTGTACCTCCTCTTGATTCAGCTCCTGAAGTTCCAGGCGTTCCTCGGTGGTCAGTTCATCACTGTGCTTAGGCACTAATTCCAGCACATCAGCAGCATCCAACTCCAGACCCAAAGTTTGTCCCAGACCAACAATATTATCCACTAGATGTACATCCGGGTCATCCACAGGTGCAGATGCAAGTGCAGGACCAAAACCTTCGAAGTCTCATCCCCCTCCCCGCTCAGCTCGTTGTCGCCGTGTGGGGGCTTAGTGGGCGGCTGCCGGAGTGTGATGCTCCTTGGGACAGTCCTCTGTCCTTTTCTAGCCTTATGCTCCTGCTGCCGTCCTCTCCAATTCTGCTGGGCATCTTTTCCTTTTCCTTCTGTTTCGTTTTTCTCCCCCCTCTTCTCCTATCTGCTTGCCGTTTCCTACCGACCTTTTGCTCGTTCTGGTTCTTCCCTTGGACTTCTTCTATTTTGACGCCCGGGTGCTTGAGGAGGCATACTCATGCACCCGTAGAACTGCAGTACCCGACGTCGAGAGCGAGGGGAACCTTTTATTGTCAATCCCCACTTCGTCACTGAACCCGATCTCGACGGACTGTCGGTTTCTTAAGGTGGCGTTTGTGGGGCGTATACTCGCGACGCACCCCTAGGATGCCCCGACAAGATCGGCGATAGCTTCTTGTTGGGTGTCCTGCCTCTAATTGTGGCTCCATGGTGGGTGTGGGGGCACATTCGTGAGTGAATTCTTTCTTTCGTCAAGATGATTACCCCTGCTTCGGCTTCTTCTGGTTTACCTTCTCAGGCTCGTGGGGTGGGCGACCAAGCCCCCGAGTCGGTCCGTATTGGAAGACCGGGCTCTGTAGCCTCCGCTGCATTGGGCCCCGACCTTGCTCCTCCTTTGGCCTCTCTGACTCCTTCCTCTGGCTCCCCTCCCTCCTCTGTGGTTGGGTCGAGCCCCAAGCCCCCTGTGGTGACTACCTCGTCCCCTGGCGCGGCTCCTTCTCTAGTTGTAACTACTGCGCCTTTTAACCCCTCTCTCTCTGGGGGTTCTCACCGCCGTCCTCGTCACGGCCGCCCTCGCTCG